AACTCTTGGGCAGTGGTACTTCAAGTGTGGTGCCTAGACTACTATATACAGTGGTAGAGATGGACATTTGAAGCCCTATTCCAAACTAACTAGTAACTAGAGAGACCTACAAAGTGACGCTTAGTAAAGTTAAACAGGATCTGATTCTTCTATGTGATAACAGTTGAGGGCAGCTACCACATGTGAGTACTTCCCTGCTATACCATGACATGAATTTGTAAAGACCACTGCAGTCTACAAAATTATGTAATAAAAGCCACAGAGCTTACAGGGAAATGAGTATGGGACATACAACAATCAAAAATTTATTAATTGGTGCTGGAGAGACGGCTAAGTTATTAAGAGGGCATTTTGCTCTTATAGAAGACTCCAGTTGAGTTGCCAGCATGCACACTGGACTGCTCACAACTTCCTGAAACTCCAGCTCCATACAGATCCAATGTCTTTGGGTTCTGAGGACAATGGCACATACATGAACATACCTACCCATACACCGGCACATGATTAAAAATAAATATGAAAAAAACCTTATCACTCACAAATTTCAAATGAAAAGTGGGGGCCTACTCAGAAACATAGCATATTTTTATGTGTTAAATGGGCAAATATACAAATACTATGATAAAATTGCCACTTTCTCTTGGAAGGAAGTGGTATTTGCTATGACATTTGGTGTTTGGGGAGCTGCCTCTTTTTTGAATTTATTTATTTTAAAAAAAACTATCTTTTCTCATTTTACATATCAATCCCAGTTCCCATTCCCTCCCCTCCTCCCGTTTCCTTCATCCCCTTCATCCACTCCTCAGAGAGGGTAAGGCTTCCTTCCCATGTGCAGTTAACAAATCCTAGCACATTGCTTTGAGGCAGGCCCAAGGCCTTCCCCACTGTATCTAGGCTGAGCAAGGTATTACTCCAAAAAGAATAGGTTCCAAAAAACCAGTACATGCAGCAAGAATAAATCCTGGTGCCACTGCCAGTGGCCCCATAGTCTGCCCCAGCCACATAACTGTCACCCATATTCAGAGGGCCTAGTTTGGTCCTTTGCTGGTTCCTTCACTGTCAGGCCTGAGCCAGTGAGCTCCCCTTAGCTCAGGTCAGCTGTTTCTGTGGGTATCCCCATCATGGTCTTGGACCCTTTGCTCATATTATCGTTCCTCCCTCTTTTTGGCAGGACTTTGGGAGCTCAACCCAGTGCTCCACTGTGAATCTCTGCCTCTGTTTCCATCAGTTGCTGGATGAAGGCTCTATGGTGACATTTAAGATAGTCATCAATCTGAGTACAGGGCAAGGCCAGTTCAGGCCCCCTCTTCACTATTGCTTAAGGTCTTAGCTGGGGTCATCCTTGTGGGTTCCTGGGAATTTCTCTAGTGCCAGGTTTCTTGCTAGCCCCATAATGGCTCCATCAATCAAGACATCTCTTTCCTTGTTCTGCCTCTTTCCTTCCCCCATCTTGACCATCGTGTTCCTCAAGTTCTCTTCCCCCCTCCCCTTCTCCCCTCAAGAGTTATCATGTAGTGGTAGAAGAGTTACCTGAAGTCGACAGTTTTGACAACAGATGTGGCTTTTAAAGCACAAAGTGACGGAAAATAGTTGAGCATGCCGAAGTGTACGGACATGAGCACTTTGTCATCTCCCAGGTAGCTCAGGACAGGTGGCTTCTGCTTTGGGCAGGAATGGAGGTGCGCATAAGCAAAAATGCAAAACCGGAGCTTCGTCTCGGAATTGCCCCACTCTATCTGCTGTGTTGGAAGAAAATTGTCTTGTCTTTTCACTAATAAAACACAGTCTGTTAGAGTAGAATTGAAATCATACATGTGTTCATACATCTATCCATTATATACACTACATAGGAATGTCATATACTGCACCAAATGTCATGTTTCTCTTTAGTTTATTATCTCTTAGAGTTCTCAAAACATCACAGAGATTTAATCCTTTAAAAAATGCTTGCAACAACTTTCCCTCCTACCATACTTCTTACAAAGTAATCTTTTCCAACCCTCCGCCCGTCTCTCAATTTCTCTCTCTCTCTCTCTCTCTCTCTCTCTCTCTCTCTCACACACACACACACACACACACACACACACACACACAGTGTGAGGAATGCTTCCCATAAACACATTGATACACTGATTTTAAAAAGGGGACTTTAAAAGTCTGGGACATGTGATGAGTGGTTTTGCAATGGGGAAACACTGAAATAGAATGAATTTGTGCGAAAACAGAACAGACACCTATGAGAGAGTGTGTGGTGGGAAAGTATTCCCTTTTCATTTATTTCTTTCTCACTTCCACCTTTGCTAATACAACTTATTCACTTTATAAGATAAGATATTGAATTGACCTTGTTGGGATTTCCATCTATCATTCTTGCTAGTTGACATCTCCAAAAGATGCAGCTTACACTGTTAATCCATTCACTTCAGCAAAACATGCCTAAGGGCATCGGATTCTTCCGTTTATCACTATTGAGTTTCAAGGCCCTGACAAGTTGAGAAGATGTAGCTGATCAGGCTGATGTGACGGCCTCAGCACTGGAGACTGGGACCCCTAAGACACCAAAGCTGCCGCCGTGAAGGCTTATGCAGGTGTCAGATGTTTTCCTGTGACAAGGTTGGCGGTGGACATAACTGCTTCCAGCTGGGCACATTACCAGGCAGGGAAGCCATAATGACTGAATAATTAAATCACATTGGTTTCTGATCATTGTTCTTATTAGAAAAATATCATTGCTTTGGGGTGATTTATTATGTGAAGTGGAATTTTCATATAAACACCATGATTTGCATTTATATATAATATATTTGCATATATATATATATATATATGTATCAGAATAGCTTACTAAAATCAAATCTCCAGAAAAAGAGGATGGGCTATCCATGTAAAGATGCCAAAGATGTTTAAGGGAATGTAAAAATTATAAAGATTAAAGTAACATTGCCCCTTGAAATTCAAACATATTTGCTATGCTTTCCTTTATTTGAAAGCAGCAGGGAGAGAGAAGCATTAACTCGCTCCATCTCTGTTTTGCAATTAGGTTTATGTACCTTGAAATCTCAAAGTCTGATATTATTAATAAAAGACACAGAATAGAAGAGTTTTGGGAAACGAGTACTTCATCTCTAAATGCAAGACTTGCTTCCCTGCCTTCATTTCCCCTCGAAGTGTCCTGGCATGGAGGGGCGGTAGAAGGTTGAGCAGAGCGCAGAGGAGCATTTTAATTCATAAAAGAACATTTCGTCTCATGGGGCCTAGAGCAGCTGCTCTCAAGCAGACAAGGACATTGCAGAAAGTCTCTTTCCCTCTTTCCCCTTTTCTCCCTCTTCCCTCCTCTTTCTCTCGCCTTTGAATTCCCAGCTGTAATGACTGTTTCGCACAACTCCAAGGATCAGCTCAGGGCACACAGTTTAGTAGTGACTTGGAAGGACAAAGCCGAGTGTTTCTCGCATTCTTCTATCTCCAAGGCCAACTAACTAATTTCTGGGGCTTAGTGTAAAATGAAGATGTGTGGCCTCTTGTGCGGGAAGCTGCATGAATGCTGCCACGAGGGTTAAAATGGAGAGTGTCCTCCTCTCTTTTGACTCATCAACAGTGTTTTGATTTGCCATTTACTGCTGTTCTTAGGAACGCTAAAATTTTATGTCATTAGCATGAATTTTACCTTTTATCTTTGTATGCTCCAAAGCAAGTCTTGAATGTGAATAGGATCACTTTTAACTTGTGTAAGGAATTTCTAAAATGACACACTTTGTATTATGCAGTACATACCTGGCATAGTTTTTAATCAGAAAGCTAGAAATACTACACATAACTAATTCAGTTATTTTTATGCTACTGTTGTTACTGCTACTACTAAGTTTACTAGTCCATTCTTTTTGGTGGTATTAGTGCTGCCCCCCAAATACTATACAGTGTTCTACTATTGAGCTGTATCCTCGGTCTTTTATTCTTTATTTTATTTATTTATTTATTGGGGTTTTTTTGAGACAGGGTTTCTCTGTAGTTTTGGAGCCTGTCCTGGAACTAGCTCTTGTAGACCAGGCTGGCCTTGAACTCACAGAGATCTGCCTGCCTCTGCCTCCCAAGTGCTTGGATTAAAGGAGTGCGCCACCACCGCCTAGCTGGCCTTTTATTCTTAATTATTTATCTACCAGCACTTTTCACCTTTACATTAGTGATGAATAAGGAGAGACTAAGAGGTAAAGAAATGAGATATGCTTTCCTTTCCTTCTATGTTACCAATTTTAGTTTGAAAATTTGGGCAATATGGGAAAGTATGAAGAGACAATGAGATGGAGAACTCTAATCATTCTGTTTCTTAGAAGTTAATAATATTAACTTCTTTTAGTGATCTAAGCAAATTCCAGTTAACAGGGAAAGCACAGCCTCTTGAGGCTATCCAAGTCTAGAACTGTTGAGTTCCAAGTAACACGAAAATATGCTGGTTAGGCTGCATCTTGCTAGACTCCCCCCTGTGTGAAACAACTGAAATATTGTACTCCTTGGGTGTGCAAAGGGCCCCTAGGAACAGCTGGTGTACATCATGTGCATCTATTCTTTGCACACACATGCTTCATGATTGCCTTTGAACCCACATAGGAAACACAAGTTCAAGATTCAACTACAAAGACAGTCAAGGCAATGACATAAACTACCATATCGAATGTGTAACTATTCTTTATGTCTGTCATGTGTGGCAGAAACCTATAGACATCTGGGAACCTACTGGCTATCCTGCAGCCTATGGGTGCCATACGAAGGGGCCCACTTCCTAGTAGGCTGGACTCTACTAATAGCTTATCTATGCAAATTGTCCTTGAAATGATTCTGAGTTTGAAAGGTGAATTAACATCACTTTTAAGTAGATATCTTGGATATCCGATGAATTCATAAGGAATGCAGTTTGGCTGAGCTTGGTAGTTGGTACCAGAGTATGGCTATTGAATCATCTTCTCTGCATCCTTAACATTTTTCTTGTTTGCTTGCCATCCTCTCAGGATTTCCAGCTGGTGAGCTGCAGAAGCCTTTCTTTTGGGGAACAGAATACCCTCGGTGAGTAAATTAGAAAGGTCTCCAGTCCTTGACAAGTTAGCAAAGGAGAACTTGTCACTTTGGCCAATGACAGACTATAGACTGTCTTCAAATTCTAAGTGACATGGCAACTCTTACAAAGGAAACCATTTAATTGGGGCTGGCATGCAGTTCAGAGGCTCAGTCTGTTAGTGTCATGGTGGTAAGCATAAAGGCATTCGGGCAGGCATCGTGCTGGAGATGTAGCTGAGACTTCTACATCCTGATCAGCAGGCAACAGGAAGAGAGACACTGGGCCTGGCTTGAACTTCTAAAACCTCAAAGCCTACCCACCAGTGACACATGTCCTCTAACAAGGCCATATCTACTCCAAAAATGCCATACCTCTTAATAGTATAACTCCCTTTGGGATCTGTTTTCATTCAAACCACCACATTCCAGTCCGTGGCCCCCATAGACTTGTAGCCATATCATAATGTAAAATGCATTTAGTTCAACTTCAAAAGCTCCCATAGTTTGTCACTGTCTCAGTATTGTTTAAAAGTCCAAAGTTGAAAGTTTTCTCTGAAACTCACGGTAATCTTTTAAACAGTCAATTCCAAGTCAATGGTTATTCAGCCGTAAGAAGGCATTGGAGATCTTATTAGTTTTCATTCGGTATTTGTTTTCTGATCCTTGTTCCCAGAGTATTTGACTAGATGGGAAAGTCAATTTTCTACACAGGATTTTCTTTTTCATTGCATTTCATCACTTGAAAGATTGCTGGGATAGAAGGAAATGGGCTAAAACCTTTCTGGATGAAGAAACTGAAGAAAGGGGAGAAAGGTGCTTTCTGGGATGGCAGAGGGTGACTTGGCTGCTCAAGTCTACAAAGAGAAGTCATGTAAAAAAGATTTTAGTTTCATATCGGAGGGCTCTGAATGTCTAGTGAGGAATTTAGAACAGAAAATACTAAAGTTTCTAAAGAAGTGAGGTGATTAAATGTGTCATTAGAAATACAGCCAGCATAGCTGTACCATATAGGTCAGAAGGGACACGTTTGGACTTAGGGACAGCTGTTCGCAAACAGGCCATAGATGTATGTAATTGGTACTTTCTCTATAGAGTGGAGTTTCTCATAATATTCCTTGTCAACAGTACCATTACTTTCTTATATGCCTTTTTATGTTCTGTGGTCCTTTAATGCATGGAAAAAATTCGTCTTGATTTTAGGAGTTGAATCACTTGTGTTTGCATTTTGATATATGAGGACTTTTATATGATTATAAGCTAAATGTCTCATACATATAGTAATCAGAGAGATATAATGGTTGTGTTTTAATTGGGCTTCCTCAGAAGCTGCCCCTGCCATGAGGGTTTAAATAGCTCTTTTGGAACATGGTGCCCGGAAACCCCAGCAGAAGATGGGCAGGTGCCACAGAGAGGGGAGGAAAATGACATGTGTCCTATGAGTCTGTTATGGCTGGAAAAGTGAGCTAGCACTAAAACTATACAAGCACGAAGCCTATCCTTGTATAATCCAACCTAGATTTCACTAGGTTAAACGCAAGGTGCATTTTTTTTTTAATTTCTGGGGAATAAAGTATTTCCTTATCTTTTCTGACTTTTAGAGCAGGGTGCACATTCCTTTGTCCATGGCCTTCCTCCTCATCTTAAAAATGTCAAAGTAGCATTCCCTTTGACATAAATATTTGTCTCTTCTTTTCTTAAAAACACTTGGGGTTACTTTGGGCCCACTCAGATAATTCAGAGTTATCTCTCTCTTTTAAGGTCATCTGGTTAGTAGCCTTAATTTCATCTGCAACACTAATTTATCTTTGTCATGTAACATACCATATTCACAGGTTCCAGGAATTAGCATCAGGGCATCGTGGGGAAGCCATTATTCTGCTTGACTCATGCGTGCTATAAAGTTAACAGATCATAATGGGCAACTGGAAATCAGTCTTGCTGGGGAACTACAGAACATGCTTCAAGATAAGGGGGCTAGGTTATCTGTCTTCTAGGCCACATTACATCAGTGATTTAGAGGTGCTGCCCAGGGGATTCCCTGGTAGTACCCACCATACGTGGCTGGAGAAGCTCCTTAGGCAGCTCCTTTTCAGTTGGCACTTAGAAGCAGAGAGGCCAGTGCACTGAGACATGCTGTATGCTGAGGGAACGTAGGCAGGCAGCAATAGAGTCTACTGCAGGGAAGTGCTATTGTTTTTTTTTTGTTTGTTTGTTTGTTTGTTTTTTTATTTTTGAGACAGGGTTTCTCTGTGGCTTTGGAGCATGTCCTGGAACTAGCTCTTGTAGACCAGGCTGGCCTTGAACCCACAGAGATCTACCTGCCTTTGCCTCCTGAGTGCTAGGATTAAAGGCTTATGCCACCACCGCCTGGCAGGGAGCCTCTATTGTTAGTGAAAATGGAAGTTATTGGGTTTGTAACCCCCAATCCTTAGCTGAATAGCTTTTTGCAGTATTCAGGCATTTGGATTCTGATTTTTTCCATGATTAAGATTAGAAATGTATACACTAAATTCATGAAATTAGACACTTAAGTAATTCTCTAAGATCACTTCAGACTGAAAAAAAAATCCTGGCATTCTTTGATTCTGCTTACCATAGATAATTTAACTGAGTTTCCAATTGTTATATAACTTTACCTGAAAACTTGGAAATAGTCTGGTTATGTTTGCAAGTTATTGATTCAGTGATTTGTTTATTTGGTCCAAGGACAGGGGATTTTTATAGAATCATACAAATCAGAAACTTAAGAATTCTTGATAGTGTCTGCTAGAACTACATCGGGTGGCGCCATAGCTGATACCTGAGTGAGCCACCCACTTTCTATTAATATACCACTTCAGTGAGTACCTGATAAACATCATTTGTGTACTTTGCTGTGGGAATATAGAAAGGATAGAAATTACAGTTCAGTGAGTTTCCCATCTATTTTCTCTTAGTTGATGGATAGCTTCCAGAACTGAAGGAATAGGTTTCCTTTTGCTCAACCTGCTGATAGTTGCCTTCGTGTGAGTGTTGGGTCTAATTGGGAGGTCAGAGATAAGCCAAATCATTTCCAAAGGCAAGAATTAGGAATGGAAATGACCTTCAGCCACATGACCCAAAGGTGTTCCCAGAAATTGTCACCCTCGCTTCCCTCTTAGTATCTTCATTTCCCAAGTTCTATAGGAAACTTATTTGGATATGGTTAACCTCAAGGCTTGATGACTCTGCTTTCTGTGTTTTGGGGGAAATGCCATTCTTTGGTTCATGACTTAAAAATAAGAACTTAGAAGAGGGATTGCAACATGGCATAGCTGTTAAGAGCACTGATTGCTCTTCCAGAGGATCTGGGTTGAATTCTCAGCATCCACACAGTGGCTCACAATTCCCCTTGTACATAGTATGCAGACATGTGCAGGCAAAACACGCATACAGATAAAATAAAATCAATAGTCAAAGAAGGAACTTGGCAATATTTGAATTTGGGGTTTGCAATCTTTTTTTATTTATTTTTTTTATTTTTGTGGCCTCAAAGTTGCCGGTCTGGAAGTTTCTATGTAAGTAAGGCTAACGTTGAACTTGTGATCTTCTTGCCTTTCCCCCTAAATTACAGGATTACAGGAATTCTATTTTGTCTTTTGGAAAGAAAATTAAGTGACAAATACTTTTCTGTGTTTAGGGATGTCGGCAGGTGTTCATCCCATGACTGTACTGAACCAATAGGTTGAAAGCACAGTTGAGAAACTCTAGAAAAATGTGTAGAAGAAACTTTTCATTTGGAACTACCCTAAGAAGTAATAGGTTCCATTAGAGAAGTGAACTCCTAATCATTCGAAAGATGCAAACCGATGTCTTACTACTCTTTGAAGGTTTTACTGTTTGGTTAGTTGGTTTGGGCTTTTTGAAACAGGCTCAACATATAACCCAGGCTGGTCTCACACTCCTATCAGTATCTCAAATGCAGTGCCAGGATTAGAGGCATGTGTTCCTATGTCATACCTGAAAAACGGTTTTGAGATACAATGTTACTAAGTTGTCCAGGCTAGCCTTTAACTTTTTATCCTATTCTCTCTGACTCCAAAGTAGGTGACAGGACACTGAACAGGATTTTACAGAACTTTTAATGATTTTAGATACCGGAGTAGGGTAGCCCATATTTGATAAGAGCCTGAGCTCATGGTGAGTCCAGACAGCAATATATTTGACCAAATCTCATGTGTGTGTTAAAGCCGGCTCACAATGAGAGAAACTGAATAGATAATAAAGTAACACTGTTACCTTCCCCTTTAGAACACTTTTTTTTATTTGTTTGTTTTTTCCCTTTTCCTGGCAGTTTCTTTGTGTAGTCCTGGCCTTCCTGGAACTCTGTAGACCAGGCTGGCCTTGAACTTAGAGATGCATCTGCCTCTCCCTTCCAAGTACTGGCCAAGGGCTTTATTTTTAAGGCCGGAAGTCTTCCAATTTCTGCCTAGTCAGTCAGTTGTATTCTAAAAGGCACGTGAGGGTTTTTTTTTTATGACATACTAAATTAAACAATTTCCATTGAAAACTAGAAGACATCAATGTAATATAAAACATTATCTAGTCATACAAAATTACCTTTTCTTTGTCTCTTGTTCAAGGGATTGTGTTTTTGTAACTGAAAATTGAGACTTACAATGATTCAATCATTTTCCAAATTCCCTGTTTTCCTCACAAATAAACTTTTGGAACAGCCCTTCTTAAGGGATTTTTATTGTGGAGTACTTTCTGTATGTTCCCATTGTCCATCCCTTAAACTTATCCAGTCAACAGCATTGACTGAGGGCTGTGGAGGACTGAGAAATCTTGGAAATTGAAATGTTGCTGGTCACACAATGCTGGCTACTACAGCAAAAAATTAGCACCATGTGAAATTACAAGTTTGTCCCACATAGGCCATGATAGCTCTATGATTGAAATGCATAATTTTACTCTTACTTCTTTAATGAAGGTTTGCAATGATGGAAAAACAGTAGGAAACGTTTTTTTCAAATGCAAATTACCTTGCAAGAAAGAAATAACAAAGGAAAGAATTGCCACCAAGGGGAAAAATTAAATCTCACAGCACTTCCTTGGGTATAGTTGAGACAAACAATTAGCATGTTAAGGATCATTACGTCCTGTAATAACATGTTGCTTCAAAAAATTCTGTTCTTTCCAGCTTTGGTCCTGTCTGTGTGCTGGTTGATGTTGATATTATATGTCACGAACCAACTGTGAAATATTTTTAGCATAATTACAAATCTTAGACTAAAAGGTCTAAATTGTCTATAATTCTTACCTATAGGTTAACTGGTTTAAGTAAGTTCCATATAAGACATGTCCTTTCCATGACATTTAAAGGCTGATTAATCATGAATTAAATCGCAGTTAATTTTCTTATTGTTGTACTAGGAACAGAGAATTTAGCGGTAAATGACTAAGGGGAGGGCTTGGTCTTCATGGAGATTATGCTAGAGAGAACATTCTAGACGCGTGCATCTGGAAGGCCATTGATTTTTCTCAGCTCTTGTGTTTGTGCTGTGCTCCAGTTACCTATACTGTATAATAAAGCCCTGTCAAACAGCCATCTTCTGCCTCACAAGTCTATGATTTTGACAGGGGCTGCTCCACTGGGCTGAACTATTCAGGATACCTTCCCTCCCTCCTGCTCTTCTAATAGGTGGGGCCCAGTAAAGTCTTTCCTTTCCCTTCAGAGTTCCTTACGTTTTGGAGTTTCTCCATCGCTTTTCCAGGCCCCTTTCCCTTCAACCAGGCAGTCAGATTCTTTACATTATTGCTAACTTATAGAAAGGAGGAAACTACAAGGTGTCTTAAGGTCTAGCTCCAGTAGCCTCTCTCAGTTCAGATTCAAGGGTAAGAGATCAGATCACATCTAGGTAGGAGTGGGGGCATTTGTATTTAAGGATAGCTGGAGTTTTTGGTGGCCATCCTTAGAGATGATCTATCACGTGCTTCTTCAGAAGTCAAGAGAAATAATATAACACTTTCCCCGAATTTGATTAAGGCTTCACAGTCTTAGCTATTCCAACTGTCAGCTTGTCTGTCACAGAAACAGAGGAACATGACTAACTCCCAAACAGAATGCTCCTTTTTAATCTCTGCTCTATTCCTTTTTTATGACTACATTTAGAAAACAATTTGACTTCTACGATTATAGTGACTTTGCCACAAATTTTCCAAAAAAAAAAATAGTATATTGACTGTTTTTAAGTCCTGTTTTAGGTGTTCATGAATACAAGACATCACTGCAACAGATATAGAACCCCAGATGTCTTTAGAAATCCCTCATTTCACTGAGTGGGACACCAAGACCCATACAAGGTCACAGTGACAATGTTAGAAATTATACTCCTTTGTTTTCATTAGAAGTACTGGCATGCTTAGAGAAATTGGTTTATGCTTTTATGGGTATAATTGTTGGATACTTTTATTCTTACTGTTATTAGTAAACGGTTCATTATCTTGGCTTTTCACTAAAAATTTAAAGACTTATGTTCTCAGATTCATGCCTGTAATTTGTTCCAAATTGTCTATTTTTGACATAGATCCCTGAGTTATGGTGCTATAGGAGTAATTGTTGGACATGAATTTACACATGGATTTGATAATAATGGTAAGTACTAGTTTATTTTACAAGCTGCTGCTTTTATAATGATGTTGATTGGAGTGTGTTAATTGTCATTATTACCTTTTCATAGTGGCATCATCATAAACTGAAGATTATCTCAAGCAATGTGATTGCTGATTGAAAACTTGTCTCATGGTTTGCTGTGATAGCTTGCAATAAATAACTATTCCAGTTGGTGTTTAGGGTCAAATGAAAAAAAGAAAGACTTTGTAGTTTCCATGAAATCACTTTTGCGTTTGGGATGGGATTTCCAGGGCTCCCACAGTGGCTGCAGGAATCTCGCTGTAGCTTTTCTCCTTTGTCATTTGTTTCCTCCTCACAGGCCTATGTTGTTTTCCCTGGAGGTGTGAGCTCTGCCCCTGAGATGATTGTATGTGCGGCTTAATTAAGAAGTTAGCCTTGGGAACTCGGCTGCCTGATTGCTTTGTATAATTTCAAGTGCTTCTTTTCTATTTTTCTTCATATTGGCATATATTCAAAATTAATAACATACACATATGCTCTGTATCCTGATGGTATTTAAGCAAAAGGGAAAGGCAAGATAATAACAAACAACTAAAAATATCTCCTTTGAGAGTCATCATTTTTAAGGTTTTCTGACATTTATTTCTTTGTGTGTGTTTGTGAGTGTGAGTGTATGTAGGTCACGGGATAACTTGCGGGATTGCTTCTCTGTTTCTCATGTGTTTTGTTTTGTTTTGGTTTTGGTTTTTCGAGACAGAGTTTCTCTGTGTAAAAGTTCTAGCTGTCCTGGAACTTGCCCTTGTAGACTAGGCTGGCCTCAAACTCACAGAGATCCATCTATCTCTGCCTCCTGAGTTCTGGGATTAAAGGCCTGTGCCATTACTGCCTGGCTAAGGGAGAAGATTCTTAACTAAGAAACAAAGGCATATGGAGCTCATTGGTCCCAGACTTTACTTCTAAGGTCTCTCCCATGGAATAGAATCTAACGATGGCAATTCCATCCTGTAAACAATACGTAGCACAATGTGTTGCACATATGAGTATGTGTCCAGGAACTGATGGCTGATGTGTTAGTGGATGGAGGACAGTGACACCATTATTTGGGGTAGTGTTAGTAGCAAGCAACCTTACTGAAGAGCTTTGGGTTGGTCCAGTGGATGCTTTTGCTTAGGGTCCTTCCATGTAAGCCTTTTCTTACAAGTTCTCCCTTTGGAGCCTCTTGTGTAGGGGGCTTTCTGTGTAATTAAATTAAAAGCATGCCTTTGATTCTAGCAATAACCTTGGAAATAGAAGAGTTGTACCCAAATCATTGATGGGAAGGCTGTAGATAGCAAGAGACCACAAAGCAAGAAAAACGATTTCCCCTCCCCCAGTTATGTTCTAGAGATTTCTATTCCAGTTCCAAGTTCTCTTTTTAGACCAACATTCCTCATCCAAGCAGGACAGATGGGTCTTCCATCCACACCGATGACTGTGAAATGATTCATAGCAGAGGGTTTATGTGTTTCTTCGCTCCTGGCAACTGAGAGGAAGCAGGTTGCTATAGGGCTGAGTCAGGTTCTGTGGTCCTATGGTTTGGATGACTCACTGGGGCTATTCCTATGGATTATTTGGAATTTCACTGGTAGTGCTACTCCAGTTCCCTCTGCTTTTTGAATACAGGAAACTCATTTTGATTGCCAGAAAATGTTTCAGGTCAGAGGAGATGAAAACAAAGAATCCGAGATTGGATGAGACTGGTGCACGTGTTAAATTGATGAATCTCATTTTGAAAATGCCCTTTGTTCCTTTCAAGGAAAGAACTCGCTCAATTCTGTGCCTCCCTTTCCTGCTTTCTACAATTAGTCCATGACATTGGAGATGACATGGGAGCTGATCTCAGGGACAGCATCCTGTGCTGTTGGGGCTGCTTTGGAAAGTCTGATGAGGTGAAGGAAAGGCAAGAGGATCATTTTGGCTTCTAGAAAGTAACACAGATTTCTTGTAACTTTTCTTTTTGCTAGGTAGAAAATACGATAAAAATGGAAACCTTGATCCTTGGTGGTCTGTGGACTCGGAAGAAAAGTTTAAGGAAAAAACAAAGTGCATGATTAGCCAGTATAGCAACTATTATTGGAAGAAAGCTGGTTTAAATGTGAGTACAGCTGTGGTTGGTGGTGGTGGTGGGGGCACCTTGTGGGCCATTTTTCCTCATTTAGACATTAGCTTGCTTTAGACCATTGGTTCTCCAAGTATGCTTCTGGGATCTACAACATCTGTGTTCCCTGGGAACTTGTTAGAAATGCAAATCTTTGACTCCTGCCTAGACCTACTGAATCTCTAGGGGTGGAGTCTGGTACTCGGGATTCTGTTACAAGCCCTCAGGTGGTTCTAACAGATGGTTGAATTTGGAGAATTGTAGGCCTACCCATTAGTGACATCACAAATGCCCTAGCCCAAACAAACAATAACATTCTTAAAAAATCTCCTACATTTTTAGGTTGAATTAACTGAGATAACGTCTCATTACTTTGAGTCAAAGGGTCTGAGAATTAAATCAAGTTTTTAGTTATAGAAGTTTGAACAAAATAAATATACTTTTGAAATGTTTATTTTGTGGCATGTGTATGTATATAGTTTTCAGTGAAGGCAAAATGCAATTGTATACATACTTTGAGGATGTGAGATTTTGTTCCTTTTGTTTTTGCCTTTATCTTCATTGCCTTTTCTTTTCTCTCTTATCTTCTCTGCCTAAGGTCAGCGTTAGTAGCTCTGATACACTTCCTCCTGCATTCAGGTAAAGATAGATACACACAGGTTTAGTTAATTGCTTCTGGTGATGGCCTAAGAATTCCTGGTGTGGATATACCATAACCTAGTCAACTAACCTCTTACCCAGGAATTGAATTTTCAGTTAAAAATGTCTATGCAATAAATACCTTATTGTGTAATACTTTTTCCCTGTAGGACCTATTCCTATTGTCACCAGAATAAAATTGAATATTTCTACAAGTGATAGATTAAGGAATGTTATATCCATGAAACCTTACTTTTCTTGTCAATTTATGAGAGCCTTTTAAAATAGCAGGGATGCTGAACTTCTGTTATTCACATTATATGTATCTCCCTGAAGTGTATTACTTATCCTTTAAGGTTTTTTTTTTCTGTAGTATCTTTTGGCACACAAAATCAAAACATTTTCAATATTTCAAAATACTAAATCTCTCTTAAAATTACTTTTTGTCTCTCTGTTCTTGCCTACGAAGATGTCTGCTCTACTCAGATTGTATAGGAAATAGTCTTAGCTACCTTTCTCTTGTTGTGGTAAGATACTACAACCAAGATAACTTACAAAAGAAAGCATTTAATTTGGGTCTTACAGTTTCAGAGTGTTAGAGTCCATGATTATCATGTGGGGAGCATGGCAGCAGCAGGTAAATATGGGGTGGAGAGAGGGGGGAAGGGCGTGAGAGAGAGAAGGAGGAAGAGAGAAAGAGAGAGAGAGAGAGAGAGAGAGAGAGAGAGAGAGAGAGAGAGAGAGAGAGAGAGAGAGAGAGAGATTAAAGCTATTCAAGCTAACTAGAGGGGCTTTTGAAACCTGAAAGCCCATCCCCCGGTGACATTCCTCCTACAACAAGGTCACACCTCCTAATCTTTCCAGAACAGCTCCATTAACTGGGACTAAGTATTCAAATATATGAGCACATTCAAACCATCACAGGAGCCTCTCATTTTTTCCCAAAAACTTTTGTTTTTATTTTTCTGATATTTTACGTTTAAATGTTCATGAATGTGAAATTTATTTTTCTGTGGAGTTCAATAGGGGAGTTCATATACTGTTAAAGTATAGGTTCGAGTTTAATACTGTATGATTCTAGAGTCATTTTACATGCGTCCATAGCATGCTCTTGTTCTCTTATTTTAAGTTTATTTACGTATATGAATATATTCAAATACATTTATTTAGTTTTGTTCTTCAGCATATATTTTGTTTGCCCAAAGTGTAATGTAAGTTTGAAATCATGTATCTTTGTCACTAGGACAATGATTATAGAGCAAATCTGTCTCAGTATAAATTCATTCAACCATCAGAGAACAGCTTTAGTCTCTTTCCCATAGAAGGGCTATGTGTCTAGAAGGTGTGTGTGTGTGTGTGTGTGTGTGTGTGTGTGTGTGTGTGTTTCCTTTATGGACATAAGTGGTCAGGCTTTATTTTTCAGGTTTTATTTGTAAGAGTAAGTTTCCCAGTGCCCAAATCGTTCTTTGCAGTGTTTAGGGAAGAACTTAGTTGGGTCACCACAGATGTAGAATGTCAGTAGCTAGTGTGTCTGGAGAGGTCAAACCAGGTCTCATGTACTCCACGGTGATGGTTCAGAGTGTGAGGAGTTAAAAGGGATGGGGCTCTGCCAGAAGCTATAATTTAAATGTAAAGTTTAGAGTGAGAAAAGGAGATCGATTCAAGCATGAGAATATATAAGCATACATAAGAAAAACCCAGACTTGACAAGGCATGTGCCGCACACCAAAAACTCCAGATGAAGAGGTCTGCTTGGGTTTGAATACCTGACGAATGTGAGCATTTTTTTCCCTTGATCATTCTGTCTTAGACAAATTCATGATAAGCACAACCCAAGATGGGGTTCCTTAGGTGACAGAGTCATTGAGAAAGTAGTTTTATGAGAAACCTGCCATTGGCTCTGAGGGAAGCTGAGCCTTACTCTTGATACTAAATAGGGTTCTGGAGAATGACTATCATCCCCGAAGTTGTTCAGCGCAGGGGCAAGTAGTTGGGCATCTGCACTAGCACATCAGTCAGTCACTAGGAGATGGGCTGTAGTACTCCCATAGGTTAAGGTTAGCAGTCACAGGGATGGCTGCAGAGTCTTGGTAGAGAAGGGGAACTACTGGATGATCCTGAAATCATATATATATATATATATATATATATATATATATATATATATATATATATACAAGTAACTTTCTATGAATAGCAATTAGAGAAACAGAGGCTATGGATTTGAGAGAGAGCAAAGCGGGAAGGGCTGGAAGGAGGAAAGGCTTATAATGTATCATATTTTAGTTTCAAATATATATACAATCCATAAACTGCTTTGAAAATCAGATGCTTGTTTGTTAATCAAAGGTGTTGACAATAGTCCTTAACTCATTGGAATGTAGAAAATGAATGTAGGTGGAGTCAGAATGGGAACTTTGGGAGACTAAAGCAAGGAATGGTGGGGGTTCTGGGTGATAACATAGACTCTTGCTTTCTTAAGATGTATTTTTATTTGTTAACATCACTTGATATGTCAAAAGTTGGTCTAACTTAAATTAAGTCAGTAGGATCCATAGCTTGGGAGTTGTATGTTAGTTTCCTGCTGCTGATGGAGCAAATTACTTTGAATTTAGTTGCTTAAAACAATACAATTTTATTCTCATACTATTCTCTAAGTCAGAAGTGTTACACAAGTCTCAGTGACCTAAAAGATAGGTGTTGGCATGGATGTCTTCCTTTGTAGAGGGAAATAGGGAAGAGTCTGTCTCCTGCATTTTCGAAGTTTTTGAGGCTATCTACTTTTCTTGGCTCATGACCCCTTCCTCCTTCAAAGCCAGCAATGACTGGTGTACCACTCTGGTATTCTCTTGTCTTCCTTTTCCTTTTGTAATTACATTGAGCTTATCTGGACAAACCAGAATAAGTCACTAAGGCAGTCTCTCTCTCTCTCTCTCTCTCTCTCTCTCTCTCTCTCTCTCTCTCTCTCTCTCAATATCCTTGACTTAATCACATTTTAAAAGTCACTTTTTGTCATTGTAGGGTAACTTATTCCTGAAGGTTTGGGGATTTTAACGTAGATGTCTTTAAGAAGCCACTATTCTGCCTACTATTATTCTGCGTGCTATATGGGGGTTAGCAAAGCCTTAAGCTAGGTAGGAAATACTAAACTGTCCTTGTAGCAAGAAAAAAAGGAAACACAGACTGTGTTTGTTAGTGGGCTTGACTGTGATCTAATAAAAGATGATTTATAGACATTGATATTTGAATTTTACATCATTTTTATGTGCATAAGATATTGTTCTTTTGATTTTCTTTCAATCACTGACAAGGATAAAATCTAGACTAGATAAAAGCAAATGGAAGGTTGACTTTGGCTTGTAGGATGTATAAACGTTGACTTTCTATCCTAGCTCATTTATGGTTTTAAGAAACAGTTGAGAAGAATGTCTCCCCATGCTTGACTGGGTGTTACACATATTTCAAACCTTGACCTTGTAGTCTGTACCACTTCTACTTGATTTTTTTGTTCCCTAAGAGAACAACTTTCATTTTAATGTTTTGTAGAAATAGCTGAAGGTAGAATGATAACGGTTGGTGCTGAAATCTTGTTTCTGTGTGAATGGCGATTTTTTTAGAGACACAGGGACAATGAGAAAGACTCAAATTATGTGAGTTAATCAGAGAAGTCATCTGAATATTGAAATTTCTAGTTTTCTATTAAACCAGAGCCACTGAGAATATTGTTAGCATTTTGGGCTGGAGGGATGGCTCAACCGTTAAAAGCTAGGCTCACAACCAAAAACATTTTATTCGAGCTGACTCAAGTGGCAAGAATAAAGAGGTGGCTGAGAAAATAATGCAGAGAGTAATAAGATAAAAACATCTACATTCAGAAGACCCCTGCTGGGGTTAGTTTGCCATGTTACAACATATCATGTCTACTTCTGATTCACTGAATGTCATTTTCTCTTTAAAATATGACAGGTTTGGATCCTATAATATTTACATACCTTTTGCTGAATGCTAGTTGACTGTGGAACACTTTCTGTTTTCCTTTTTTCTAGGTAAAGGGGAAGAGGACCTTGGGAGAAAATATTGCTGATAACGGAGGTCTGCGGGAGGCCTTCAGGGTACACACCATTACATTTACTGAGCTTTAAAAATCACGTGTGGAAGCACACATAGGTGCACTTCAGTGCATAGTACCTACATGGTGTTGAGAAGTGCGGTGTTTTGGACTCTCTAAAACCCATTTGTATTTCTACATGAACTCTGTTATACTTGATAAATAGATAAATAGAGCTGCATTTTTTTCTTTTGGAGTATTGAGTCATCCTAAATAATCATGGTTGTTAAGAGTTGTAAATTTACAATGTGGTTTACTGATAGTATACTCAGAATCATATTAAAGAATGCCATAGGACTCTCCTTGGGGCTAAGTTCATGTAAATTGTCTTGAAGTAAAGCTTTCTCTCTATCCTTCCTTATTTTATCATAAAGCCTCAAACTTTTAAGTTATGGCTAAAGCTATTTATTCATTCTCATACATTGGGCCAGTGAGAGTCCGTAGAAGTGTTTGCATCATATCCCAGTGTGTGGTTAAGAAATAAACAACGATAACATGGAAAGACTTGCATAAAACTGAATATACTTACTTTACAGACCAGGCTATAATCCTAAAGCATTATCTTTTCTATATTTTACTGAAGATGAATTTTATTTTATTAAATAATGGTTTAAAAAAGATATGTTTTCTTGATGAGAACATTTAAATAGAATAGTAGATTGACACCACTCCAATTTATTGCTAAAGCAGTCGTGCATGGTGGTAAATTTGTTTGTCCCTCCTTGGAATGAGAAGGGCACCTTTAAAATAGCAACTTAATATCTGACCACTATGGCCCAGTTACTTTGCTATGTATAGGGTATAAGGCGCCCCATTGTTGAGTTGCTTTTGATTTTGAATCCGAGTGTCACTCTGTAGTCCAGGCTGATCTCAAGCTCCTGGCAATGCTCCTGCCACAATCTCCCAAATGCTGGGTACAGATGTGTACCACCATGCTCTGGTAGCACAGGTGAAATGGCACTGAGTTGTATTTCCAGGTTTGTTTTCTTAAAGAAAAACCCAAAAGTGAATTTTCTACACGGCGAGGACATGTATTTAGTACTTTTGTGCTGAATGGTGAAGAGGGAAGAGCTGCCATTGATGAGACTCACCTGCTCTGCTTCCATCACCAGGCTTACAGGAAATGGGTAAATGACAAACGGCAGGGGGTTGAAGAGCCTCTCCTACCAGGCATCACATTCACCAACAACCAGCTGTTCTTCTTGAGCTATGCTCATGTGAGTAAACCGAGGGAAGGGCGTAAAAGACGAACTGGATGCTGTTAACTTATGCCCTCAACTCAAAGGTGTGGAAGAAAAGTTCCCAGTGATAACTGACAAAAGCCATTTAATCTTGCGCCAGTACTGGGTCAGCTATAAAAATAGTACCAAAGAAGCACACCCTAGTTAGAATGGGCAAACTGGGCCAAATTAAGACCTGCTGTTTGCTTTTATTTATAAATCACGCTTTGATTGGAAAAAGGCTACACTCTGTCGTTTACATGTGGTCCGTGGTTACTTTGTGTTACAGTAGCAGAGTTGAGTTGTTGAAAAAGGGACCTTATGGTTTTTAAAAGTTCAAGTACTTATCTCTCTCTTTTCAGAAGAATTTTGATCAGCTCTGATCTAGACGACAAGATACAAGGGTCCATCTGTTCGTACTGCTTACATTCTAGTCTATAGTAACTCTTGTAAATGAAAGTAATGGAGAGAGATGCTGCGATTAAAATGTCTATGATGTTTTCAAATACAACATTTTTGTCAAATTGAAGCAATTCGGGGGAAAAAGAGTAATCCTAATTTTTTTTTTTTTTAAATCACCATTGAGGAATTTCTCTTCGAGTCCCTCCTTCTTACAGAAAAAAGAGATTTTTCACTCTTTTCTACATTGGATTACATCTGTTTATATGGAATATGTTATTTTCTACCCTTGAAAAGTACTCGAGAACAGTAACAACCATAATGTATTTCCAGGAATCTCTTAAATGACTTATGAAGCATCATCAATACTATATAATAATGTAAGCAAAGTATAAAAGAGAAAATAACCTAAGAGATGAGGCAAAATTGAATGTGAAAAATAAGCTCACATGGGCTAACTTCTGAGAAATTTAAGAAACTGCATTACAAGAAGATCTTTAAAAACATTCATAAATATTGCGAGAGACGATTTGTCCTTATCAAAATAACAGTAACCCATTAGCTTTCCTGCCCTCTCTATGCCTGTAGAAGCCATGACCTGCTAATTTGTTTCTCATGCTTTTTTAAAATGCATTTTTATACTTCTGGTTCTTTCAATGTCCATTTCTATTTATTTAGTAGCTGTATGTGTGTATGGAGGCCGGAAGTTGATGTTGAATGTCTTTTTTTGGTTGCTTTTCACATTTATTTTTTTAATACATGTTTCTTTCACTAAACACAAAATTGATCAATTTGGCTATGCTGTTTGGCCAATGAGCTCCACCTTTCTCTACCACCTCTCCCATTCCATTTTCCAAGCTCTGGGGTTACAGGCACATGCCATTATGCCCAGCATTTTTGCATAGGTTTTAGGGCTCTGAACACAGGTCCTTATGCTTGTACTAGACACATTACAGATTGAGTCATCTACTCAGCCCCAATTGACTCTTAATGTTGCAAATTAAATTGGTCTTAAGAATATTAAAATTAATGACAAGTTTTCTTAAACTTTTATCAGGAAATGGAATATATAGTTTCTCATATTTACTGATTAGAACAAAGCACATAGTCATAACTAACTTCAAAGGATGTAGAGACATGTATTCTTATCTCAAGTCCAGACCAGGATGAGGCAAGCAAGACATTCAGGGACATCTATAATCAGTATACCTCCTGATTATGCTAAGCCATGGTATTGTTCACTTAGTTTATTCATTAAAATGTATATGATTAAATTTGATAAAAAGTTATTTAAAACATTAAATTAATAAGTTGAATACATTGTTCAATTCCAGGGCACATTTGATTCTCTTGCTTTAAATCATTTGCCTGGAAACCTTCTTAATTTACTCAAATTGTGGAATTCACATTGATAAATTCCTTCTGTTCTGGGGATTTGAATAATAGATGTTACTGTTGATTAAAGTTTTAGCTGATGCACTAAAAATGCTTGCTATCAATTAATTCCAGAATTATTCTTCAGCTCAAGTTGGATGAGTTAAGAAAGTAAGAAAGGTATGATTGGAGTAGAAGTATATTTACAGGGGTGTCTTTATCTTTTAGGTGAGGTGCAATTCCTACAGACCAGAAGCTGCCAGAGAACAAGTCCAAATTGGTGCTCACAGTCCTCCACAATTTCGGTAAATGCGCAAATGGGGGACAGCAGGTTTTAATGGTCTCTCCCCATTCTGTGCTTCCCAATCATGTGCTGCCAGATGGGAGTTATGAACAAAAGTCCACACAATAAAATAAATACATAATCTTCATTGTGTAGATAATGGAATCTAGCCAAAGAAACTAAGCATCTCTTGTTTCCTTAGAAGTAAGCTGGTCTTCTCAGTGTCTTTTCAACTAAATTTCTGCTTAGTGTTACATCAAGTGAAGTTTCTATTTTTTTTATTGATTTTTTATTGAGCTCTACATTTTTCTCTGCTCCCCTCCCTGCCTCTCCCTTCCAAGTGAAGTTGCGTAATGAGGTTTCATCATTGTGATGCCTCAGAAGTAATTGCAGTCCAAATCAGTTTTAATATTAAGATTCAGATATCGAATTAGAATTGCATGGGGTCAGAGGGATGATTTGGTGGCTAAGAGCATTGCTGTTCTTGAAGATGATTCAGGTTCAATTTCCAGCATCAACATGATGGCTCATAACAACCTGGAAACTAAACACCAGGAGATCTGAATTCTTCTTCCTGTCTCCAAGGCCTGTAAGCATGCACATTGTACACATACACATGATCACATATATATATATATATACACATATATATATATATGTTTATGTAATTTGCCTTTGGAGGTTAATAATCCATAGGTGCCATGAGGTCACTGCTCAATAACAGGAGTATTGAATTGATCCAACCATTTATTTTAGCAGGGAGGTTTGGGCAAAAAATAAATTCAGAATGGATTTCATTATCTAGTGAACTAGTCTGCTTACAACTTCTAGAATTCTGGTTTACTCTGGTCTGTTTTCTCTTTAAAAGTATTCTCTGTGATAGCTCTTGTTTTTCCCCTTACCCTGTAAATTATCAAACATAAACAAATATGCCCTCATTCTCAACACAAAGGAAGATATATGTGGTAATCTTAAGCAATTATAATTCATATCTAAGGCCAGAGACATTGCATTTTGTTTTTCATCTTGTATTACCCTTTGAAGCAATTGCTTATATACAAAAAGAAAAAGATTAACAACTGTAATTTCAGAATGTATAAATTATTAAGTAAAAACAAAATTAAGGTTGATATTACTTATCCTTGACTAGGTTCTATGGCTTGAGAGAAAATTTCATACAGTAGAGGATAGTTAATTATATAAAGAAATCCAAGAAACCATGCTAATTTATAGTTACTCTGCTTAGAACACATTATACCTGAATATCTTTATGTTTAATATTTAAATGATCCATTAGCATATCATAAGAAAGTAATCTAGGATTTCCTCTGTATTTTAAAATCGTATTCCTAAAACCTTGCTTTAGAAATGCTTCGAAATCGACTATAAATTACCCACTAGCATAAAAATCTAATCACTGTGTTGGAACTTCTCCCCCACTGGGCTGAACTGTCACGCAGGCTGACAGTTTCTAATGGACTAAAATGTGCTTCCACTGAAAAATGCAGCAGAGGAAACCACACAGTAGATTAATTGCTCACCAGCTAAGTTTTAGAAACAACTTTTATTTTACTAGCTAGTTGCCTGAAATGTTGGAGTTTTGCTAATAATTTCCAGAGTGCACGTCCTGATTATCAGCTCTAGTCTATCTTTCACACCTGCCTAAGGTGACTCATTCCGTGATTTAGGAATCTTTATCCATACACCCCAGCTAAGCCGGAGCCGTTATGGGGATTTGCTGGATACAGGCCATTGCATTCATTCAGATGCCCTGAGGTAATCATGCCATTATGGAAGAAATAAAATGCTGAGTTAAATTTTAGTAAACCCTTTAAATATTCAGCTGAGTAAGAAATGGATGAGAGGGAGGTTTTGAGCTGACTTGTTACTGATATCTGCAGTCAGTGTAGATTTTGAATGCAGAGAAAAAAATCATACAATGGAAATAGCATTTCCAAAAGACAGTTACAACCAAAGGGCCGAGGAGGAATCGGCGGTCCTCATTGCAGTCAGGAACTTGCGCGTGTACACCAGATTCTGGAGCTAAAAGCCAGGTCAGAATGATTCTTCTGTAACAGCTAGATCCTATCTGTTAGTTGATTCTTAGCCAAATTCTAGGTAGTGTGAATCTCCAAATGAGTGTTTTTGTACATTAAATGCATTGTTAAAAACTAATTGGAAATGCAGCAAGATGGATGGCTTTCATAATATTTTACGGAGAGGGAAAGTGCTAAAGACAGAGCTGTAGGCAGTGGACTTTCCATTCATATGGAGTTCAAACACAGCTAGTGCTGTAGTTTTGAAGAAGTCTTGGCAAGAGAGACAAAGGAACTGGAGTGCTTGAGATACCTTTCCTCGATCCCAAATTGGTAATGACAGACACATCTGGATAAAATAGTGGTTTCTATGTTTATGATTTGTGCCCTTTGTACCAGATATTTAAGTTTTAGAAACTAATCTCATTTTACTAACCAGTTGACTGAAATGTTTTTTTTTGTGCAAATAATTTACAGAGTACACTTACTATCAGTTATATTCTATCCTTAACACTTGGCCAAAAGTAATTTTTTTCAAAAGCTAGAAAACAAAGTCTTGGAGATGATCTAGTTGTGTAGGAGTTTTAAGACTTAGAAGCGTACGAGGAATTCTGGCCATGCTTTGAGGAAATGTTGGTTTTCATTCTCGATGATATTAATTTCTTTTCTTAATTAGCTGAGCTTTAGCTGTCTTCCTTGTAAATGGATTAAATGCATGCAAAGATCCTTTTGAAGCAATGGACTGGCTGTTTTATCCAGAACCTGTGGATGTGTATGAATTGAATAACAATGTACTTTTGTCATCTCTTATTTTCAGGGTCAATGGTGCTGTTAGCAACTTTGAGGAATTTCAGAAAGCTTTTAACTGTCCTCCGAATTCCAGCATGAACAGAGGCCTGAATTCCTGTCGACTCTGGTAGCTGGGAGTGCTGGTTCCTACCATTCTGCCAGAGCTGAGGGATGCCAGTAGAGATGGCAACGACGGACTCAGCACCTACTGCCTTTTGCCTTTATTTCTTTGAGAACTTTTATTTTAATGCATTTTTAGTATTTGGGTAGTTGACTTGCTTGGATCTAAACAGTATCTGTTCAAAGTCCTTGGGCTTATAAAAGAATTCAAGAGCTGAACCAAATATATTTCATGAGAAAGGCAAACCAATGAAAACAAATGTCAAAACTATTTGGTTAAACTGGCATCCCTATTATCTGTTTTGGTTAGCCACAGGTCGGTGGCACAGAATTCCAATCCACAGCTTTGCAGGTGACCTGAGTTGAGTATATCCATTGAAAGGACCAGTCTCTGGAAACTGTTACCCTCAATGTGTATCTCCTAATTTTGAACCGAGCAGACATCGAGAAAAGAATTTTCTGTTTCCATGTCAAGAACATATGGCTTTCATTTCCCTTTAGCACAACTATATAAACACCACATTGAGGAGGGAGTAAAGGCTCTTCCATCTCAGCCCACTTAATGTTACATCCCTGGAAAAGAAAATCCCTTTCAAAAACTTCTGGAATTAAGGCACTTTAGTCTATATGAATCCAATTAAAAAAATCCTGCCTAGATCTAAGGTGCACAAATTTACTCTTTAAGTGTTATGAAGGGTTTATCTTTAAAAAAGCAGTGCTGTATTTTGATCCTTAGAGCATTATTTTTTAAATGAGCATCTTTAGTGTTGGTTAATGTAATATTAGTATGTATGTATGTAGGATGAAATTGTTATCACATTTAAGAAAGTGTGTAGGATAAAATTGTAATGGCATTCAAGTGGCTACTTGGTATTTCTTGTTTAGTTTTAGTTTTATTTAGGATAGGCATTTCCCTACCCCCGTCACATTAACCATTGTGCATGGGGTGCTGGGTTAAGTGGGCCAATAGAAAACTTTCTAAAGCAAAATGACAAATTCAGATGAACCACAGGAGGTCATTTTGTATCCTTGTGACTTGTTACCCTTTTGCAAAAAAAAAAAAAAAAAAAAAAAAAAGTAAGTGTGAGCCATGTCCTTTTGTAACCATGGGAACTTCCGAAGGGAGGAAAATGGAAGGGCACCATCATGAGGAAAACAATTACACTGCATTAGTCTGAAGAGAGTGATTTTCCCCTTGACTTCCTCCTCTCTGAGTGGATACACTTCTGAAGGGCAGCAGCCTTTTCCTCCCCTTAACCATGGTTTAATGTGACCTTGGTTTGTATTTCTAAAAGCAAACAGTATTATTTCAGGTGTTGGGAATATATGTGCCTTTCTCCGGTGTAAGCATTTTGATTTGATAATCCTCATTTTATTCCTGTACTCGGGCACTTCAGAATAGCTGGTTTGTCATGCTTATATAAATAGTGCATTCCTTGTAGATGTCCTTTTTTTAAAAAAATTCCAAAGAAACATTCCTGCAGGTCAGAGAGAGTATTTGATAAAACTATAGCATTATGACTTTTGAAATGGTATTGGTGTTTGTGATTAGTTGGGGCTCTCCAAGTTTCTGGATGGCAGAACTAGTGACTAATTCGGTACAACTTCGCTTATGAAGACAAACAGAATCACTCCTAGTAGCCACACACATTTTCTACACGAACTAGCTTTCCAACTGGTTCTGTCTGACCCTCCAATTTACAGTATTGTTCTTCTCCTGTGCGACTGATTTTGTAAAGAAATAGACACCAATTAAGTGGTAGAGAGAAGGTCAGACATACCTGGAGGGATGGAAGAAAAGCCGGGTAGCTGGCCTAAGGAAAACAAGACAGGGTTTTGGTAATCCTTGCTAAACATGGCCACCGGAGGAGAGCCACAAAATCTTCAAAACTAATTATGGGAAATCAAATGGAAATTAAATATTGGCTCTCAGGCTAGGGCTGCAACAACACACTGTTCTGACTCACATAGCAGCTGTTCTGCAAGTGGACTATTAACCGGGCATGTACGAGGTTTTATTTTTTTATGTGTGGGAGATTCTCTTGTGTGAGTCAAGGATTTTGTATATTTAAAGCTGCTGAAGCTGTCTTGTTTGGCCTTGCTGCCATTGTCTAAAGTTTGGTGAGCGTTTCAGCACGTGTTCAGCATAGGCCTCCTATTTCCACCCCCCTTTAGGAGATGGATTCGGATACGGCTGATGCAAGCTCAGAACTCAGAATTCATCCCCAAGCGTATTTAGTGCCTTACCTCAATGAAGCTCACAGCACAGCCCATAACTTTTCTCTTATTTAGCCCTGGAGCAGTGCTAAGAAGACACTAAGAACCATGGCTTTCCAGACGGATGGTGCTCATGCCAGAGAAATGGGAAGGCTTAAAATTGCTTGTCAAATATTTCAGAGCCTCGAAAAATAATCTCCGTGTTTTGGGCTTCTGACCTTTGGATTAACTTGCATCTCTTAGATTATCATCTTTCTTAATATGTTTATTCAGCCTGTATTTCTAAAGTAACTTAGTATTTGGTAGCCACCATTTTTGATATTTTGAACATAATGTCTCGATGCATCTTAAATTCTGAAAGAGTATATGGCTGTTTCACAGAATAACACCCTGGTCAGCAGTGGCTCTACCCTACTGTTTTGAAGAAAGATGTTCTTGGATTGCGCATTTAAAGAACAAATCTATGGGGTCACTAGAAAACTAGTAGATGTGATTTTTTCCCCTTGTGAAACAATGAGAATCATCATTGTAAGGACAATAAAACATTGGTTAAAGGATTTCTGTTGCTCTCCTTTTTGTGAACAATTACAATCTATTATATATGTGCATATTCAGGTCTGATTTAAAGATACTTGCCAGAAAACTATGTCAACCACTACAACAATCTGAATTTCTTGCTTTGGGAGTGTAGGACTTGAACGCAGTGACTTTCTCTGTAGACAATGAGAGATGGTCATTACATACCTTCTAGAATACAAGTCAACAGGTGTAGTTTATTTCCTTTGCAATAATATTCCTGTAGAGGGAAAGAGAGACCTCCGAAGTGGGGCTGGTCTCACAAAAGTGACAATGCACAAGATCATTGCTAGCAGAGCAAAGAATCTCTATGTGTTGTCAGTGTGCTTTAATAATACAGGCAATTTGTAGCCATTCATCCAGCACATGGGAACTGAGCATCCATTCTACTGAAATCCCCAAGCCAGCTATACTCAGGTGGATAATATGCAGTTTCTGGCTTCAATGGGCTGCCTGGTTTAACAGGGCTATGGACATTGTTAACTGTACTGTTGAATAGCATCTGATGATGTGTAAGTACCTTGGGGTATGGTTTGGGACACAGGTAAAAAAATTTTCAGCCAGCTCTCCTATGGTGTACATTATCAGTTCACCCTCTGTCAAGATTCTAGCAAAGTCCTTTGACAAGAAGCCCTAACTCACCTTCTGTGTACTTTGGTTCCTAATTGGCTATGGCTCTCTAGATACATACCTTCCTGCATGTGAGGCTTATTCGTCCAGCCCACTTTCAGTGAACTGTAATTTCCTGGTGCCCTGAGACAATAAGATGGACAGGAATCGAAAAGGTTGGCCACTTCTGAATTCAAGCAAATCTATAGGTATACTATACAATTCACGCTAACTTCTCAATGGAGCCTGCTGGGATTTGGCTGATAATGCAAATAGAGGATCCCGTTAATTATCTTAAATAAATTCCTAGCATTTATATGGTCAAGTTCTGCTCTTGAGGTCCTGAGTCAATCTACTGTGTCATGACGTCATGCATGGGATATAGAAGTGAGAGGCTCTAGACTTAATGGCTAACAAGTGTCTAGTTGTAGCCTGGTGGCCTTCTGTTGGGGTGTTCATTTAAGGATGAGTTTCTAGTTCATGGACTGATCCACAAAATGAGACGGGGGAGGGGGAGAAAGGGAGGGAGAGGGTTTGTGTAAGTATGCATGTATATAAACTCATGGTTTGAAGGAAATAAGACTATAAATGAGAGACTTTATCACAGAATGATTTCTAGGTTGTGGTTTAAGAGAGACATTTCCTCTGCAGACAGAGGAAAGAGACACAGAATCTTCCTTACCATGGTTTATGTAACTTAGATTTCAAGAGACTCAAGAGGTACTGAATTTCTTTAGATTTTCAGGTATGTATCTAAGTAGCCCTCATCAAAATCTGAAGGAGGCTGATGTGTTTAGTTAGGCTAAGGATATTTTTGCATGCCTTTCCAGTTTACCTGATTTCTCTAGTGATTAAGGCCACATTAGTTATAGAAACAGACAGTCTTAAAGGCTTAGCCCAACTTAAGTTATATTGTTTTCATTACATGCATAATGGAGATTAATGATTATTGAACTTTCCTCCCCCAGTTGGCAACCCAGGCTCCTTCAATACAGTGATTGTACAATGTTCAAGACCCAATTCGATACATGCTCATAAAGAAGAGGCTGATGGGAAGGAAATGGCCATGGAGAATGGAAGATTAGTTCTGGTCCCGGGGCATGGTTTACATTACTTCTGTTTCTGTTCCATTGGCTAAAACTCAGTCATGTGGCTGAAGTCAATCTTTGGGGCAGATGCATCATATAGTGTAGTGCGGCCGGCTGTGTGCCCAGTACGAAGAGCCAGGGGGTTGGTTGGCCTCTCTGCTGCTGTTGGGTGCCTTTGGAAGTGAAATTTAGGACAGTAACTTTGCACTCTTCTGAGTTTAGAAGATTGCTTTTGAACACAGCACAATGAAAACTGCAAATGCTATTAGTAGCCTGCAGTTTCTTCTGTAGGAGTCTTTTTAATTAACAGCTTAATTGGATAATTTAATCCCCTTTAGAATTGGAGATATGAAAAGGAAAATGAGATACTCCCTGGGATCTGACAATGCCCTGCCTTACTAACATACCAAAGTGAGTTGGGAGCTGAGCACCACAGAAGCATCCCAGTAACTTCTGATCAGAGAGAGAAAGCCTGATCTATAATTGTAATCATTTCTAAATGCTTTAGATACATGTTTAATTTGAACGTGTACTTTGTTTTGTTAATTGGATCAATTAAGAAGGTAACTGAATAGAAGAATCTGGCTGAGCCACAGGTTTACAAGCTACGCTGTAAGCTTTTAGGCTATATTCTATTGAGAAAGGAAAATACCTACTAGGATGTAAAATATTGCTGAAGAATACAGTATTTTCTATTATTTTAAGAAAACTTATATAAAATAATTTTCATTTATTTATTATGAGATGAAAAATGCTACTCAGATCATTTTTATTTTATGATTTGCCCCCTGAATGTGTCTTAGAAAGGAAGGTGATTGTTCATGTATAGGCCACAAATGTTGTTTTCTAATCAATTCTGAATTGAGATTCTGTTTTCACAAAGAACCAAATAGGTAAAAAGCCCCTATTTGGTGGCCAGAGACGTATGTCACTTGGTAGAATGCTTGCTAGCATGCATGAAGTTCAGTCCCCAGCATTGCATGAATTGGGTGTGGTAGTGAATGCCTATAATCCAAGTGCTCAGGAGGTGGAGACAGGGATCAGAAATTAAACGTTACCATTGGCTACATAGTGAGTTTAAGGACAACATAGGCCGTGGTTCTAAACCTGTGGGTTGTAACCCTTTTGGAGAGGGTCAACTGACTCTTTCATAGGGCTTGCCCAAGACCATCAGAAAACACAGATATTTACATTATGATTCATAACCATAGCAAAGTTATAGTTATGAAGTAGCAAAGAAAATAATCTTATGGTTGGGGGTCACCACAACATGAGGAGCTGTATTAAAGAGTCACAACATTAGGAAGGTTGAGAACCACTGCTTAGGCGATATGAAACACTGAGAAAAGAATTCATAATTAAAGTTATCTAAAATATTGCATACCATGTGCACTGCAATTTGACTGAAGTGTCAGTAATGTCCTAAGAAAAAGAAAAGCATCGCTTATCACGTAGCAACCTTATTGTGTTAATGTCCAAACTGTTTTGGAGGCAAATGGAATCAGGAGATAAGAGACAGCTATGAAATCCCCATGGCATCTAAGGTATAGCACAACTATCCCAGAGCGTACTTATCCCCAAATTGAACACATTTTCAGTAGGCATTTGTTAATGATTTTTGCCTAGTAATCATAATGAAGATCGCATCTGTTTGCCGACTCATTATGTCCAAGGTTCTCTGCTAGTTCCTACATTATAGCCAATCTTCACGTCAATCATGTAGATAGTTAATATTCTCACTACACAGGTGAAGGATAGCTCTGGGACTTGTTAAGACCATGTCAGCAACTGGAGGAGCTAGAAATAGTTTTGTCTGATTTCAGAACCTATTGGACATTGGGGGATGTTCACAAACATGATTGTGTGACTTATTGAAGATTATAGGTAGTAATATTCTGTTAGAAAATAATGGAATCGGTTTCTAGGAATTTATATTTGATGGCAGTTTTCACCTTGAGTCCTATAAAAAATGAATTTAGAAGGTGCTCCACACTGATATTACCTGCTACTGTTTATTGAGATTTATTATTAGATTTAAACTATGCGCCTTAATTATATTATATTATGTAATAATTACAACAACTTAGTTACCCATTTCCACCCACGTTTTACAGGTAAGGAAGTACTTGGTGAGGTTAATGACATGCTTATCCGCTTTTAGCTGGCAAGGAGCAATTCTGGGCTTGAATTCATTTTGGCCCAATTGCTGCCCTGAATATATAAGATTTCCCAGTTGGGGTATCCCCTCAATGAAGGGAAAAGTATTGACCCCCAAGACCAAGTTCTCAGCACAAAGGAGATTTGTTTATCCCAGAAGGAGAGATGGCAGGAAATAAGAGTCAAAGACAGGAGATAGCGGATGAGGGAGAAGGGGAAGGGAACAAGGGAGAGGAGAAAACAGGTATTAGTCCCGGAGGAGGACAAAGGACAGCTTCTGGATAGAGAGGAGATAGACGTGGAAATGGCAGTTTATAAAGGTAGAAAAGGAAACACCGAGTTAGGATGAGGTGTTTGATTTTAATTGGAAATCTTAATTCGGAGAGCAAATTGCTGGACTTTGGTAGTCAGCCTCAGGAGAAGGAAGTGGCCAAATAAGTGAATAGACCTTAGTGGTTAGCTTTAGGAATGGAATCTAATGGTTTTTAGCAGGGCAGAGGGACTGGGGAGAAAGGCAAGGCCTGCCAGAGCCACGTTCTCAAGTGGGCTAGAGTCCCTTCGCTATCAGTGCAGTTCCTAGGCTTCCTCAGAACTACCTGTGTCCAGTGCTGTGATTACCTTCAACCGGGTCTCACACACTCATGTTGTCTCCAGGTCATTTTATCCAGAGAACTAAACCTTTGCAATGCTGCCTGAGGGTATTCGAGGGTCTTTAAGGCTATAACCTTGTTTTTAACCCTACCAAACATTCTGATAATGATTGTTAACTAAAGTTTCCAGATTCCAAGGCCTTCTGGTGTTTACAGTTTTCTCCTAGTAGGGATGCCATTCTTTGTCCATTTGAGGCCTACACTTTCTTCTAAAAATTTTCTCTCTCTTCATATATATATTTTCTCCACAACCACACCCCACACAAATACATAGTCATTTTGTGGGAAGAAGAGTAGATCCTCATCTGTCCCTTACATTTCAATGCAAGTTTACAGTTTTTGAAAAAATTGATCCTAAAGGAAACATTCTATCCTGAATGATTGCTTTTATCCAACCCCATCTCTTAGAGTTTAAAGATTCTTTTAAATCGCTGAATATTGTATTATATATGGATATATGGATGCTGAC